GCTTTCACGTTCTCCCCGCTCCCATCGAGCTCGTGCATCGCGAGCCCACCCAATTACTAGGATACAGATCGTTAGTGATTTCCAAAGAGATTCCCCCGTACAATGCAAACCCGGCCTCGGAACTTCCCCTTTTCGACCCGCTTTGCCGCGGAAAATGCTTTCACCGATGCCGGCCGGAGGAAATCGCGCGTGCACCTGCAACGAGACTCGCCGACACGGACGTCGGGATCGGTTGGCTACGCGAACTAGCGGGAATATGAAATGGAAAAGGCTAAAGCCGTGGTGTGTCGGTTACGTAAAGAGCCGACACAGACACGAAGGAAACGCGCGACTCGATCAAAGCTGATCGTGCTTCGCTTTGATTCCAACTTGCACGGGTAATGACGTTGCTGGTGCACACCTTCGCGAAACTTTTGTCCCCGGGGAGACGCGGAACACGGCAACCGATAAGCTATAACGTACGCGAGTCACGACTACACGGTGGCCCTCTGTCTGGCCACTGGAAAATTCTTCGAATCGATCCATATTAATGATCCATGCCCGAGTTTCGTCCCAGCGACGCGATTCTCGTTCCAAGTTGCGGCTTCTTGCCACGGACACGACCCGGCTCGTTCCAAGGGAACACCGCCTTAGCGTAATTTCCAGCCGCGCGTAGATTTAGATCGCGGAGCAACCCGGCACACCCCGTCCGTGAGTAATTGCTATTTTCTTGCCTTTAAATCGTGCCACGGCGAGATTATTATTCATGAACCGAACAAACCGTCGCATTGTCCGTAACGACGTTCGCCCTGTGCCCGCTCCTTCCGCCTCGGTTCCTCTCGTCTAACGTCGCCCTTAAATAAATTCCTCCGACGCGTTCCCTCTTTTTCACCAATGTTTGCCACGCGGAACAGCGCGTATTCCCGATTCGAACGGACGTATCTGGCAACTATCGCCACGGTTTCGCGCCGTGTTTCGATCGAGATTCGCGCGGGAGAGAGAGAGAGAGAGAGAGAGAGGGAGAGAGGAGGAGGACGGAGGGAGCAGTCGCAATCCGACTGGTTCGGTATAATTAGATTTACATCGCGTTTCGGTTTCGTCTCGTTTGAACGGAATCCAAATATTACTGCAAATTACGGTCGAAAAACGCGGCCACGACCCGCTTCGGCCCCTCGATTTCACCCCCGTTAGCCAACAAGGGGTAACCCCTTTTTTTCGGAACGTTAACCTGTCGCTACTTTCTAGCGGGATATGAATATAAAAAACGAAGAAGGAAAAAGGAGCGAAAGAGGGGAGACCACAGCAACACGCATTCATAAACGTGAAACTTTCGACCAGCGCAATCGGGATAAAAGCTTCAAAGACCGGCAAGTGCTGTCACGTGGCGCGATGGAACGCGGATTATCAAGCTACCGTTTAACCAAAATACCCATTACCGTAATACCGGCTGCACGAAATGGCAAGTCGAAAGAATAGAGAGCACGCGATAGCGAAACGAAGGGTAGGAAAGGGGGTGGGGAGCAGAGGAGGACCTCGGTCGTGCGTATCGCTTAGCGTTGATGAGAGCTTTAATAACGGCTAGGGAGGGGGAAAAAAGGAAAAAAAGAAGACGAACGGGGTAATGGGTGTTACCGAAAATTGTGGAATTAATCGAACCGAGACGCGATCGGGAAATTTCCCGAACGATCGAACGACGATATTCGTAAGTATAAAGAACGCCGTGTGTAGGGGTTTCCTCGTCGCTTCTCTCTGTATTAATTAAAGTGGCAAGAATGCGCGGCTGAAATAGCCGAGGCATTATTAAATCTCGAGACGATCTGTTTACCTTTGTGAAAGCACGTATAGGCACGTATAGGCACGTATAGGCACGTATAGGCTCGTATACGCGTGGGTGCTCAGAAATGACGGATGCACGATGTACATTGAAGAAGTTGCAGCGAACAATGAGACGGGAGACAAAGAAACTCGGAAAATCGAACGGCGCGTATGTAAATTCCTGCGCGCTTAAATACTTGTCCTTATTTCACTGTTCCGCCGCATTCCCGGTGTCCCGTGCAGCATGAACGATTCCCTTTACGCCAGACACGTGGAGTTCTAATGCGTAATGCCGCTGTCTTCGATCTCGCGGAGTAAGTAGCGCGACGAGGTGCACTCGAGCTATCGATACGATGTATCCGCGCGCTCCTTCCCCCTATTCGCCGGCTACATAAAAGAGATTTCGCATAAAGGACAGCAATCTTCGAGGGATAAGTCGAAACGTACATAGACTTCTTTCAGTTCGAAGACGTCGCATTCAATTAGAAGGCAAGGCTCTTGGAAAATTGCAAAAGACTTTGCGCGCGATCCGGCGATGCACGAGCGGCGATACGGCCGGTTTCATTATCCCGTACCCAGCTTCCTCTTCCTTTTCTACTTTTCTCAGCTTTCGCCCGAGCTTTCCTTCCTCCCGACCAACTTCTCTCGCACT